GGCAGGACCAGGTCCTAGTTAGAGCACAAACCCAGTTAACCATCAGCTCAGCTCAGCAGCCTTCTCCCCCTCCTCTAGCTCATGCAATGGAGATTTTAACCCTCATTTACTTGGTGAGGAGAGATAAGCCTGGAGATTTAGCAGATAAACTGTTTCTTTCTGCACAGAACATCGGCTCAAACTGATCCAGGCAGGACAATTTGTGCCTCTGCCCTTCCAGCTGGACATAGTTACTGCTGGAGGAGCCCCTGTCCCTCCTCTCCAGTTGCTGAGCCCCTGCTTGGCCATCAGGACCTGCCACGGTGGCGTGTCCCAGCTTGGCAGTGACACAGCAGCAGGGATGTGACCGTGCCCACCCAAAGCCTCCCCACCCTCTCTGCAGTCAGGCTGGGAATGTCAAATCCAAACAGAACTGCTTCGTGCCCTGGATTTTTTTCACTGGGTTAAAGCTTGAACAGGGAAAGAAAAGGCAAAGCAGGACTTGGTCCTGTGCCCCCAGAGCTGGGGCCATCACCTGCCTCCCCCTTCCTGCCCTCTGCTACCAGCCTTCCTCCATCCCACACCCCAGAATTGGGGCCATCCTCTGCCTTCCCTTCCCTTCTTCCCTCTGGCACCAACCTTCCAGCAGATGCTGTAACTGGTGCTGACGTGGGGAGATGCTCCTTCCATCACCCTGGCCCCATCCAACTCGTCTGCTGGCACTGAGGGCTGAGAGCCCAGCCCAGAGCAAATCCTTTGGAGGTGCCCCGGGAATGTATCTCCAGGAGAGCCCATAGCACTGGCTCCAGCATTTGAGAAGCCCGTGCAGGACACAGCCCCCAGCAAACCCAGAGGGAAATGCTGAATGAGCAGACGTTACACCGTGTTCCTCCACTCCCTGGTGTGAGAGTGTGGCTCTGGAAAAAGCACTGCCCTCAATATTTTATGTTCAAAGACCGTTTTTCTCAAAGATAACATGGAATAGCTCGTGCTGGCTCCCCAGAGCTGGGGCTTCCACAGGGTCAGGGGCAGGAATGAGCCCCAAACTCCCACCTGGGACCCTCTTGCCCTTACCAGCCCTTTCCAGCCGGGTGCTGGACACTGGAGCTGGACAGTCTGTGCTGCAGGACAGACCCCGGTGCAGGTGCTGCAGCCTCAGAGGCCTTGGGGACAACTCCAGGTTCATTTTCCTTCTTGTTTCCTTGCAGATGGACTTTTCTGCATGCCCACCAAGTTCAGCACTGTTCTAGTCAAAAACCCACACGGTGGAGAGGTGGTTCAGACACTGGAGAACTGTGAAATGAAGGAGAAATGCTATCGTGTCTCCCAGGTGGAATACTATTATGAAATTGTGCAGAGCCCTGCGGGACACAGGGAGGAACGGCTCAAGGTGGGTTTCCAGGGGTTTGGCCCCTCTCTGATGGGCTCAGCTGGGCCCACATGTAGGGTCTGAACTGCTGGGAGGATGGTCTGACACTGGCAGCTTCACCCTGGCATCAAACCAGAGTGGTAAAAATCTCACCTTTGTATTCTCTTGTGGTATATGGGCCATAAAGGAACAAATGGCCTTTTCTTTGGGGTGAGAATTCCTTTAAAAAATTATCAAAGAACAATGATATTAATTTTAAAAAACATTTAATTGTTAAGTATGCCTTCAGCTCAGTGGAGACTTTACTCTCTACTTCAGCACACCTTTGTGCACAGAGAACTCTGACTCAAAAAACACTGCTGTGCCCCCCAAATATTTCTGACCAGCTGTGCCTTGCTGCTGCCCTTCCCCGGGGATGGATGCTCAGCCTGGGGCTGTAGGGAGGGTGAAGGGTCCCAGGGTGTCCCGCTGAGGTGCTACAGGGGATTGTCATGCCTTTGTTTTGCAAATCCTTGCAGGAAATCGATGTGGGAAGGTGCTTGGGCAGCTGCTCCTCGGGGGATCCCTGCTTGCTTAGGTAAGCACAGCTGCCAGGGTCCATCCCCTCCCCTTCCCACACACCTGCACCCGCTCGGGCAGGAGGGAGCTGCCCCCAGTCCTCTCACCAAACACATCTGCTGCTGCCAGGGCAGGACTGGGTGTGGGGGGAGCACGGGAGCAGGGTTTGGGAAGCACTCCCAGCTCACCCACCGCGGTGGGGCCAGTGGTTGTGCTGCTCTGCTGTCTCGGGGGGAAGAGCAGAATCTGCTGTGATTGTGCCGAGTTGGGCTCGTTGGACAGGGGGTTATAGAGCCCGTGGTCCCCCATGACAGCAGGCACGGATCCTGAGAGGCTCCTGCAGCCTGGGGTGTGCCATTCCTGTTCCTCACCCGGTGGCAACGCTGTGGGGCAGGAAGGGGTGGGAGGGATGCTCTAGGGCAGGGTGGGTCCAGGCAGTTGTTTCAGACTGAGGGAGGCAGGACTTTGTGTTGCTTGCAGACACAAAAACGTGGATCCCCAGCACAGGAAGGACAGGGACATGTTGGAGTGAGTCCAGAGGAGGCTACAAATATGCTCCGAGGGCTGGAGCTCCTCTGCTCTGGAGCCAGGCTGGGAGAGCTGGGGGGTTCCCTGGGAGAAGAGAAGGCTCCAGGGAGACCTGAGAGCCCCTTCCAGGGCCTAAAGGG